TCAGAATTCAAATAGTAAAACCCAAATCCAATCATCATATTATAATTTTTCAAATCAGAATTCAAATATTCACATATATTAGAGTAAAGCCAAAGTCCAATAATTAATCCGATTAATTTCTAAAGGTTAAAATAATTTAATTTAAATACCCTAAGGGTTACATATAATATATGAAAACATCCTAAAATTCCCTAAGGATTAAGATTACATTTAACAAATTTAATATAAAATTCTCCTACGATCACCTAGAGGATTACATATACCAAATTTCATCTAAAAATAATTTAAGATGCCCTAAGGATCCGGATTACATTAGACAAAATTTATTATAAAAGTTAATCTATTATTTCTAAAGCATTAGGATTATACCAACAACTTTCATATAAACTAACCTAAGAGCACCTAGGGATTAGGATAAGTAAGGATTAGGATTATATAAATTTCAAATAAATTAATTGATTATTCCATGAAGATTAGAATCACATCTAATAAATTTAATAGAAAACATAACTATAATAAAAAATTCATATAAAGCTAACCCTTGACTCTCTAGGGGGATTAGGATTACATATAAGGAATATGCCCTAATTTCATATAAAAGAGATAACATACAACTACATAGAAATTAGGATTACCTGGTCTCCGTGTTTGTTGCCTTCTAGAAGAAAAGAAATTTGAGGAAGAAAACAGTTGGTAACCAAAGGAAAATAATAATAAAAGGAAAATAATAATAAAATAAAATAAATTTGAAGTAAGAAGAGAGAAAGTAGAGGACAAGAGGAGAAGAAAAATGGAGAAATGCTGAGGATTGGAAGTGATTTGTTTGGTTAGGCTAAGCCCCTATTTATAGGTGAAGTTTTGTAACTGAGACATTCATTACGGTAATATCAAAAGTCATCATACTTATTTCAATTATTGAAATTGCAAGTAATATCAATGGTCATCATAATTATTTTAACTATTATTAATATATTAATGGTTACAAAATTAAATAAAAATAATTGTTGGAACTTACTAATTAAATGATAACCAACCATAACTGCTGAACGTTACAACTAAAACCACCACTAATTACGGTTACAATTTTAAAGTCAAATTATGACACACTATTAGAAATCAATTCCTATAACACCTTACATAAGGGTACACACTATTATTATTATTATTATTATTATTATTATTATTATTATTATTACTATTTTTTTGGGATATTAAACATTTAATCGATTAAGTGTCCAAAAAAATTATAATCGATTACAAAACCTTTTTAATCGATTAACTTTCGGTGTAACTTGTATTATTGGTGAGACACTTCATGCTCCTTTATTGTAGAAAGCAAAGTAATTGTGTGGCTCGGTGGAAACCACCCCGATGCAAGGTTTTGCGCTCGCTAAAGTTCCCACCTTTTCAATTTGCTGGCTTTTTGTTTCTTCGTTTTCGCAATCATCTTCATTTTTCTTCATCTAGGTTTTCTCCGTTTTTGCTACGAAGGTAGGAAATTGAATTGGGTCGTGGGCAGAGGCGGACCCACGTATGGGCAAATGTCCGCACGTGTGGACATAAAAATTTAGATTTTAGATTTTTTCTTTCTTTCTTCAGGTCCTTATTTGTTGTGTCTTGGTTCAAAACGATAACAGGACATTGTATATCAGTTAGCAGGCCACACCGCTCCATCATTTAAGCTTGCAGTTGCAGCCTTCGTCCTCTTCTCCTCAGCCACGCCATCACACAACAAAGGCCTTGTCTCGACTCCGGTTGCTCCACCACTTGCGCCGTCCTCTTCTTCGTTTTCTCATGGTAAAGCTTCAGTCTTTTTTTTTTGGCGAAGGCCTTGTCTCGACTTTCGTTGCTCCACCACTGGCTATGGCTGCTTTAAAAAATTTGGCAAATTTTTTTATCCATTGGTCTTGTCTTTGATTTTGTCAATTTGAAAAGAATTTCTGAACTTGTTTTGAAGATGGTTGTGAAGAGAAAGGAAATTGTTTATCCATTGGTCTATTTGTTGATAAAGTTGTCACTCCTTCTACCAGTAGCAACTGCTAGTGTTGAGCGAGTTTTTTCTACAATGACTTTTGTTAAGTATAAGCTGGGCAATCGGATAATTGATGATTGGTTTAACGCATGCATGCTAACTTATGATGAACATGATATATTTGATAAGATTGATGATGAAGATATAACCTAATATTTTCAACCAATGAAGAATCGAAGAATGTTTTTGTGATCGTTCTATTTTAATAGCTTAGTTAACTCTTGATCTTTTCTTTTATGTTAAATACCTTTTTGTGTTGAGATTAAATGTCAGTAATTCTTATGGAAGAATACTATTTTTCAGGTAGTAACTGAAGAGATAGGATGACTTGATTTTCTGAGTTTGCACACTTCAATCGCTCAACTCAACAATCATTGGGCATAGCTTCACTGTCATACTTGCTTCACTGGTAACATTTAATTTATACATCATTTTTTACTAGTTTATGTTTCTATCTGCCTAGAATTAATATTCACTTTATATGTTTTTCCTACATTGATAAGTCAACTCCTCCATATGAAAGTTATATCAAAAAAAGTTTCGGGGAAGCTGACCCTGAACTCCCGCCACTAAATGTGCGGACATGAATTAATTTTTCTTGGTCTGCCACTAGTCGTGGGTATAGGAGCAAGATGAATAAGCATCATTTGTATGGTGGAAGTATTGGTTTGAATTCTGATAATGTTGAGGTATTGAATTTGATTCTCCATCATTTGGGGGAGGAAGACCTTCTCAAAAAGGATGATAAGGCCCTCATTGTTAGCCCTCCACATGGGTTTGAAGGTATTGCTATGTTTAACTTTAATAATGAAGTTTATGTGGCTATGGACTATGATTTAAAGAGACAAAGCTCTTTCCCAAATGAGTCATATGATTTTGTATTTGCCCCAAGATTTGAAGATGCTATGTTTTCTGATCGCATTTTGAGAATTAATGGCATTGTGGCTTTCCCATTGAGCAGTAAGTCAGTAACCCATCCAATGTTGGCTTTCCAATTAAGTCACAAAAGTTAATCGATTAAAAAAGTTTTGTAATTGATTATAAATTTTTTTAACACTTAATCGATTAAATATCTTTTATAATCGATTAAACGGGGGCAAATTGAGATATAGTTTTGAAATGAGGACAAAGTGATTATTTTTTAATTAATAAGAGATAAAAGGATAAAAAAAAGCCGGCTGAAAACACACAAAAATGACCAATCAAAAAGTTAGAATTTGATAAAAGATAAATTCTCTCTTCTTAATTATAATTATAATTATCAAAATGACAAAATATTTAACTCCTATAAATGAAGGGAAAAAAGTATCTAATGTTACTTTAGATAACTTTCTCTAATATTCATCAAAACGACGTCGTTGTGGAGTTGAAAAATTAAAAAATTAGAATGATAAAGACTATTATAACCCTAAAATAAATTAAAATTACAAAAACACCATGATTTTCGCTCCAAAACGACGTCGTTTTGATGAACATTAGATAAAGTTATCTAAAGTAACTTTAGAAAACACAAACCCTTAAATGAAATCTTAAACACACTTTTATAAAAAAAAAATAGAAAATAGAAAAGTAATAAGAGAAAAATAATGAATCAGCAAGGACGCGTACACGCCAATTATCTGCTCTCACATGTTTTTTAAGACACACCTCGTACTAAATAATAGGTGGCCTCTCAGAGGAGGATTTTTTTAACATGCACCGGGTGCATGATTTATTAGATGCTCCCTTTCCCAAAAAAGACAAATTCCCTTCCACTTATACCCTTATTTTTTTTTTAAATTCCTTCTAAGTCCTTTTTATTTTTTATTTTTGAAGAAGGCCGAGACCGCCAAAAATGGGCTCCTCAGAGGAATACATGCAAGCAATGGAATACATTTTTTGTGCTATTGTTGCACCTAATTCAGTCCATCCCATCAATAAAAGCATTACATCAGAGGAGAGAGAAAGAATTTGGCAGAAATTTTGTTTTTGACTTACATGTAATATTTTTTCATTGATTGGATGCACTGAATCTTCGGTGCAACAGTACTACTAATAATTTATTCCTAGCAACTAAGCAATATTATTAATTATCGTGTAACAGTTAGGTGAAAGGGGAGATTAAATGGTCTAATTGACACTTTATCATAATGAGTGAGCTTAAGAGTTAACGGAAATGGATCCTCTCATGTGTAATTTAACATGATCATGTCATGTGGGAGGATCTTAACCATTAATAATTAAATCAACGGTGATGATTGTGTAACTTCCTATCCTTATATTTTTTTTCTCTCTCCTCTCTTATCACCATTAATTCACCCATGTATGATTATGTTTGTCCCACATGACATGGTCATGTTAATTAGCACATGAGAGGATCCACTCCCCACAGTTAACACTATATGCCTCAACTCAAAACCGCGCGTATCAAATTTATTTTATTCATAGACTTCACTACTCATGCTTATTACCAACAGAAACAATTAATTTTTGTAACTCTTGCATAAAACTGAATTTAATAATAAATTGACGAGACTCTTGATTTAACCTCAATTATTTAAATTAATTGGTAGAATGTGATAGCAAGTAATAAAAATGATTTACATTTAACAATATGAAACATATAAAATTTTATGAAATATAAACAAAACTAATTTTTTTAATTAATGATTTGTTGATTCAATCGCTTCCATCTTCAAATTAATTTTTTTGACGTGGATGATCAAAGTTAATTATTTAGGCTAAAAGATAATCTGATTCAACTTAAATCTCATGCATAATGATAATAACTTTGACACCATTCTGTTTCAAACCAAACTTCACTCTAACAAAATAATAACATTCAACAACAAATCAAAAGTATCTTGAAATAAACATATGGAAAGAAGAGAATTTTGTTTAGGTTACAAATAAGTTAAAACATTCCTTATTGGAAGGGGTTGGGGATGTTATATATATATTTAAATAAACATTATTTAGCCCCTAAGGTTCACTTAAATGATAAAAGGTACAAATATGATAAAAACATAACAACAAAAATGTGGAATAGGCTTTGATATTTGATAACAGTTTGAGACTGGCGTAAAGCATCTAAAACCTTCCGCCTTTCATCTGTCTCCATCATTGCTTTTATTTCTGCTTTTAGTACTCTCTTCTCCACCTCTTGCTCTGCCCACATTTGTGCTGCTTCAATTGCTGTCTTATATCTAGCATTTTCCGATTCAACCTCTTGCAGTCTCTCTTCTTGATCTTGACGTTCAGTCAACTGGACCAAATGGAAGAAGAGTTAGCATACTCATGATCGACTGCATGTTTAAACTATAATGCTTTTAAAATTTATTTATTTATTTATTTTTGGTTATTTTTGAAATTTTAAGTGAAAACATTTCACCTTCTGTTTTGAGATTTTGGCCTCTCTGCAGGCTGTATGGTACGAGTCCATTGCTTCCTTAAGCTCTACCTTAAGTCTTCTGATTACACCTTCCATATCCTCCTGCAATATTGGAGATGATGCATCACTATAACACCATTCACTTGCAATATAAAATTATGTGCATTTTCTCTCTACATATGTATAGGATGCGTGGTCATGTACAACACCTAACTGCTAAGAGAATGCCCGGATTCCTGAATGCCAATTTAATATATGAGATAATGTTTATTGTGTTGTAAGACATAACTTTTACTTTCTATGCAAATATAAAAGTGTATGTAATCCATATTTTCTTCTTCTTTTTCTTTTTTTTTTTACAAATTATATTAAGTATGACCGGTCATACTTAGTGTAGTTTTTAAGAGTTTGTAAACAAAAAGTTTATAAATATAATTTTCCTCTTTATATATTTACAAAAAATTTGTAAATATAACCTTCTCTTTTATATATATAAAGAGGAATGTTATATTTATAAACTCTTTATTTACAAACTCTTACAAATTACACTAAGTATGATCGATCATACATCAATTAAGAATGTATGACCGGTCATACTTAGTGTAATTTGTAAAAAAAAAAATTATAAATGCATCATTCTCCATGTATAAAATCAGAAGTTTTTGATAAAAAAAAAAATAAATCAGAAGTTTTTGATTAAAAAAAAAAAATCAGAAGTTTTTTAACGGTAATTAACAAATTGACTTACGAATGATGGTCCTTCACCGCATGGAAAATTACCCTTCATAGTATCCAGAGTCACAGTTTTGGAACTCGAGAATAAGGACTCAAAGTTTTCATTGTCTGAGTTCAAAATGTCTGATGAGGATCCACCTGTCAGTCCAGATTCCAAATTTTCATAAAATGAAAGATAACTGCTGTCTGTGCTTATCCTTCCCGAGCTTTCAAGCGAGTTGTCATTCTCAACCACCGAAAGCTCATCATATAACCTGTAATAAAATCAAATGCATTCCCGTCGGTTAAAGCAAATCATCTTTGCAATCTATCATTTGATTTTCCTAATTTAAAGATTTAGCATATATATGTTATAGAAATATAATATGAAATAAGTGACACAAGAGTGCATTGGCCTTGAAGAAGAATTAATAATGCAAAAATGCCCATGTTCATTAGCTCTAATATAATGTAAAAATGCAATTCAAATAAAAAACTTAACATGTTAGTATATCAGTAGTTTGGGGCAGGTTATATTATATTTCTCTAAAATCACCTTCAAGTTATGGGTACAAAAGGCTCTTTGTTATTGTCCTTTACATATATAGCAGTTTCTCTTGAGTTGCATATTCTCGTATATGGCTTAATTTACTTATAAGAATATACTTACATGTCAGGATCTGCATTGTGGTTCCCGTTGGGATAGATAGGTTGAGTTCTTTCAACTGCAGGGATAGCTTGTGCCGAACGAGCAGGCCGCATAGCAGCGACTTTCCCCTTGGATATAATATAAACATTGCAGAAATTTGATGCCCATTTTAGTACGCTGCTTGAAACATCTGAATTCTTGAATATCCTTGAAAATATTCAAGAAAAGCTGGTGTCTCAGATATACTAATGCAAATGTGCGCAAAATCACCGGTAAGATTAAACAATTCTATTATATGAGAATATTTATTCTCTGGTGTCTCAGATATACTAATGGGAGGAGCATATCTACAGCTGTTATTTTTTACTATATTCTCCCGGGAGAATATAGTTATAACGTTAAAGTTGTTTTTTTTTCTCTCTCCTCATTTACTTTTTAAAACTTTTTTGCTGACGTGGAGAGAGAGAAGAGCAACTTTAACGTTATAACTATATTCTCCCGGGAGAATATAGTTAAAAATGGCAGCTGTAGATAAGCTTATCTAAAGTTGCTGTAGAAATGTTTACCCCATATATAAATATATATATATGGGAAATGTAAAAGTAATGTTGTAGGAAAACTACTGTAGCTACCTGCAGATACAATAAAATCATGGGGCCCACAAGTTTTTTTTTTTACACTTTTCTTATCTCACTTTCTCTCTCCTTTGATTAGTCTGTAGGAAAATTATTATTGTTTCCATCAACATGATACAAACATAACCCTATATATATATATAGGTAAAATATGTGTCATTTTAAAGGATGTAAAGTTGTGTCATTTTAAGATAGAGAAAGAGATAGATAAAGGAGGAGAGAGAGTTGACAATAAAAAAAAAGTGTGGGTCCCACCTCTTTGTGAGAGTGAAAGGATATAAGTTGTGTCATTTAAAAAGATAAACACTTTTCTCATATATATATGTGTGTGTGTGTGTGTGTGTTTCGTTTACAATTTTTTTTTACAAATTACACTAAGTATGACCGGTCAGACATAGTGCAGTTTGTAAACAAAAAGTTTGTAAATATAACTTTCCAATATATATATATATATATATATATATATATATATGAGGTAGGATCCTTTGACACTTCATATGAGAGCCGTCAGATCAAAAAAAATCAAAGACTCTGATTTGCAAGCATGTGACACCATTGATCTCTTTTTGATCTGACGGCTCTCAGACGAAGTGTCAAATTTGAAATTTGACACCGGTGTCAAAGGATCCTACCTCTATATATATATATATATATATATATATATATATATATATATATATATATATATAGTTTACATTTATACAATTCCTATACGTACAATAGTCAAATATTTGCCATATATATACGTGAAAGTATTAAATGTGGAAAATCATAACCATACACTTGTCATCACTGTTATACGTAAAGCGGTCGTAGAAATAATTTTACCTATATATATATATAGGGTTCGTCTTTTCTACAGTCAATGTAGATAAGTTTTCTACATTGAGCTCAAAATGACGTAATTTTGGGGCAAAAATCAAGGTATTTTTGTAATTATAATTTATTTCAGGGTTATAATAGTCTTTTTCATTATTATTTTTTTATTTTTCAACCAAAAACGACGTCGTTTTGGGAGTGAATGTAGATAATGTATCTACATTCACCGTAGAAATATTAAAGCCATATATATATACATATATATGGCAAAATGATTTGTAATGTGACTGCATATGAGCATTGGTGCAGTCACTTCAAAACTACGTCGTTTTGGGTGGGATAAAGGAAGTTCAGGTTCAAAATTAATTATATAAAATAGAAATATTATATTTATTTCTATCTTTTTGTGGTTATGATTCCCTATAATTAATGTTTTATATTTATTTCCACTTTTGTATGGTTATATTCCCCATATTTAATGCTTTCACACTATAAAACGACGTAGTTTTATATGACTGCACCAATCCTTACGTGTAATCACTGTACATCCGCTAAACCCCATATATATATAGGGTTTTATAATTCTCATTCAACATGAGAATTGAAATCTTCCTACACACCCTTCGATTTTCGTGCTGACGTAGGTCCTACACATAATTTTTTCTAACATATGGGTCTCACATGCTTTTTGTCTCTACAACATAAGATTTCAATTCTCATGTAACTTGAGAATTATAAAATCCATATATATGTATATATATATATATATATATATATATATATATGGAGATTAATGTTTCTTATGTTGTAAAAAATAAAATTAGGAAATAATTTTATTTTCTACATACACATAAAAATGTTTGGGGTCCATTTTTTTCTCTCTTTTTTTTTATACAGCCCCATATGGAAATGTATGTATAGGAGATAGTATTATCTCTTATAACATTATCTTATGAGAAACATAAATACCGTATATATAGGGAAATAGTAGTCTCATGTTGTAGGAGACTACTATCTTATGCCATAGACACTTCGACAAGTGTGCTGCTATTTTCTTTTCTTTTCTTTTCTCTTTTTTAATGGTGAGTCTCTTCATTCTGTGTCTTAGCATAAAATATGCTCTCTCCTACAACATGAGAGTAAATAAACTCGTATATATATTCAGAGTCGTTTTACTCAGAGCTATACCTGGAAAGGCCATTCCTTGATAATGTGCCAACTAACAACGTATTAACTCCAGCTGATGAGACATAATCAATGAGTGCTTTTGCCACATCGGTATCGTGAAGTATGACAATCTCAAATTGCACCTGAAGAAAAAGTTATAAAAGAAACTTACTTCAATAAAAACTGAAAAGATCAATCGATAATTATTATGTCACTTTTTTTTCTTATAAAAACAGAAAAACATTGTTTTTCCCAAATAATAAAATAAAAAACAAACATGTTATCAAAAAAAAAAAAAAAAAAACAAACATACAAGCAAAAGTCACTCACCTTTTTACGGGTGCAAAAGCAACGATATGGAAGAAATACTTCCAAAGCCTTAGCATCTTGTTCTTGTTGGTTCACAATGTCACTGGTCCCTGCCACACCTAGAAGAGAAATTGAATACGTGCCCTCTAAAGATAAATAACAATTAAAGGTAAACAGTGTGCACCCGCAAACTTATATATGGCAAAGGACGTAATGTCCACTTTCTGTTGTTTATGAATGTAAATCCAACTAATTGTTACAACATTTTTTTATTATGTATTCACAATTCGTTAAAATCACTTGCATTTGTGTGTGTAACATATAGTGCATATACAGAGCTGTTGGTACTCCCTGCTTGCTCGTGCTTCCTTTTGAAAAACAAATGGAAATGAGAACTTTAATAGTTGCGAAATAAAACGAAGAAATGTCTTATTATTTTTCATCTACATACATTTGTCGAAAGAGAAATATTTAATATGTTCCCTGTCCATCACTTATTCAGTGGTTCAGGTCAATCAAAATCAAATATTTTTTGTGATATATTCAAAGAGGAGAAGAAATTTTGTTTTTTCTACATTCTGCCAATGGGAGGAGCACATGCACCGAGTGCATAAAAAATGCGCTCTGTCGAAAGATGCAGATATATCATATATGTCATGGTTCAACAGTGACATTTCTCACAAACAAAACAAGAGGTACAAAGCGGAGCCAAAGGGAGCCCACCATTATTTTTGAAAACGATTTATAATTTTGAACACTTATATATAGTTTGGAATTGAAGTTTATCTCGCTCAAAAATATAATATTAACCAATAATAATTGGATTAGTTAAAGTGGAGAGCTTTTTCTCTTAATTAGAGTCTCGAGTTTGAATCTTTTAAATGGAGAAAATGATGTTAAGAGAGTCATCCTAATATAAATCGGACAACCAGATTAAATTTTTTTTATAGTATTAACATTTTACCCCTCAACATGAAACAAATATTGTTTAAAAAAATGATGTATCACATTAAAAGAAGAGAGATGATGGGAACGAACCTGGGCTTGATGGGGGTAAGGGTAGTAACCTTTGAACAACATGGACTAGTTTTAGAGGCTTGCTTCTGGGGAAAAGATTTTCAACTGCCCATTTAAGAGCATAATGGCTTGATTTTTCCTTGTCCACTGCAACAGCTACAACCCCATCTCCCTGTTGTCTTGTTTCTCCATTCTCCCTTGCATTCCACATTGTCTTGTGTCCTTTTCTTTTCTAGCACCTTGATCGTATTCGTATTAATGGAGGAGAAACAGACAAAAAACGAACGAGGTTCAGATCAGAAAAAGACTCAGAATTAAGATGGTTGAAATGACGACGTGGAAGGAAAAGGAGAAAACTATGGAAAACCCAACTAACTACAATTTTTTTTTTTTTTTTTTCTTAACTCCAAATCTAGCTCCACCATTATCGAAATGATATATGTCAATTCTGGTCTTTAATGATTCGTGAAAGTAGTTTTTCCGTTAACAACGATGTTTCTCAGTATTTTGTCACGTGAGAAAAATGCCTTAGAATTGGTCGTTGGGGATTGGGCACTTTGGTTTTGACCAAGCCCACTCCGCAAATCATAAAACAACTTTTTACCATTTAGTGGTTGTTTGCTAGGAGGTGAAAAAAAAAAATTCCTATCAAAATTGGGTGAAAAAATTATTTGCCTGTATTTGATAGGAGGTGAAGTAAGATGGTGAGAAAAATCTTTTTTCCATCATTTGCTTTTTTATGTAAAATAGTGGGAGAAGATTACTATTGAAGTGATGGAATTATTTTTTCTCATGTGACAGAAAAACTAACACATAACATCAATAAAATTAACTCACCATTCCCGAAATTTTTTTTCCTAACAAACACCTTTTAGTAACTTATCCAGAAAAAAAAATTCTATCATATTCTCATAAATTATTTTTTCTCGATAAAAAAAAAATTCCTCTACCAAACGCCTCTAACATTAAGCCAAAACATGGATATGCATGGTATTCTAAACACTTTTTATGTGTTAATCCATTATTTGGAGAAAATGTTACAATTGATCAGTGAGCAAATTAAAATTGAAACGGGCTGATAAAATAAGACATTTCTTGAAAAGGATCCTAAAGTTTGAATTTAAAAAAAAAAATGCGATATATGTACAAAAAATAAAAATAAAAAATGCGATACATTAGTCGCATTTTATGATTGGATAAATAAATTTGAACTTTTTTTTTTTTGGTAATAAAATTTGAACTTTTTACTTAGTCGTTTGAAATGAAATAAAGTTTTAATTGTCATTTTGAACTAATAATTTCTACTACTCCTGGGGCTCTAAGGGTGTGCATGACAACCATTCTGTTCCCTGGCATTGTTTCTGAAAAGAAACAATTTTTTTTCTATTTCTGTTCCTTGGAACAATTTCTGAGAAAAAAAATGTGTTTGATAATATGTTTTATTTTTATTCAGAGAATGAGAATTGTGTTTGATAACACAATAAAAAATAGAATAAAAAATTATTCATATTAAGCATAATTTTTTTTTCAGAACATCACTTTCCTTTTCATATGGTGTGGTGGTGGTGGTGGTGGCGGTGGCGGTAGCGGTGACGTCATGGTGGTGGTGGTGGAAGTAATGTCATGGTGATGGTGGCGGTGGCAATAGTGGTGATGGTGGTGATGGCATGGTAGCGGCGGTAATGGTAGCATGGTGGTGGTGGTGACGGTAGTGATAATGGTGGAGACGGTGATGGTAGTGGTGGTAGTGGTGATGGTGGCGGTGACGTAGAGGTGGTGGTGGTGGTGGTGATAATGGTGGCGGTGACGTAGAGGTGATGGTGGTGGTGGTGATAATGGTGGCGGTGACGTAGAGGTAGTGGTGGTGACAACAGTGGTCGCAACGATGGTGGTGATAATGGTGATAATGATGATAGTGGCAATAGTGGTGGTGATGGTGACGACATGGAGGTGGTGGCGACGGCGGCGGTAGTGGTGGTGGTGGTGACGGCAGTGGCAGTGGCATGATAATGGTAATGGTGGTGACAGCGGTGGTGGTGGTGGTGGTGGTGACAGCAGTGTCTGGGACTATGGTGATGGAGATGACATGGTGGCGGCGGCGATGGCGGTAAAGTGGTGGCGTGGTGGTGGTGATGGCAGTGGCTACGATGATGGTGGTGGTGGTTGGTGACAGTGATAGTGATAATGGTGGTGACGGTTATGGTAGTGTTAGTGGTGGTAATGACGGTGGTGGTGGTGGTACGACAATTGTGGCATTGGTCGTGTCGGGATGGTAGTGGCGGTGGTAATGATGGTAGTGGTGGAGAGTAATTGAGAGATATAAGTGTTTCTCATTTTGTGCCCAGGAACAAAAAAGCAGAAATTTTTTGATTCTTTTTTTTGTTCTCCAGCACAAAAATTAAAGCGGTTCATCCCGGGAACAAAAAAATAAACCGATTTTACCAAACGAGTTTTTTATCCATTTCTGTTCTAAGAAGCAGAAATAAAAAAAATTGATTCCGGGAAGGTTGTCATGCGCACTCTAATTCTTTCATGTACAATTTCAATTAATAAGTACCCTTACATCTACATTATTAGCTATTCTTGTTTTTTTAAAATAATGGAAATGATATTTTAACAAACATAACTCTATTAAACAGGTTTATAACAGAAGTCATATAACTATTCAAAACTAGATAAATTATTGAGAAAAAAAGTTTTCGATGTTACTTTAGATAACTTTATCTAATGTTCATTGAAACGACGTCGTTTTGGGGTTGAAAAATTAAAAAATTAGAGTGATAAAGACTATTATAACCCTGAAATAAATTAAAATTACAAAAATACCATGATTTTCGTCCCAAAACGACGTCGTTTTGATGAACATTAGATAAAGTTATCTAAAGTAACATCAGAAAAAACAAACCCTAAATTATTAATGTATTGTATTTGGACAAACTCTAAAGCTCCTGTTGATTTTCTTTAAAAAAAAAAAAAAATTGGAGTTAATTCTCTAAAACATGATTCAAAGGTAATTTGAAAAAATAAAATAAAAAACCTTATTGGATAATCTGCTTGAGAACAATTCTTACAGAGGCGGACCTGCACTTGTGCAATTGCGTGCAAGTGCAGACACAAATTTTTTGGGGGGGAAAAAAAAATAAAGTATTTTTTGGATCTTCAACAAAAATTATGGGACCCCATTTAATTCCGCGTTAGTCCCTCAAAAGGACTAACATGGGCCTATTTTGAATTTTAGAGAGACCACAAGTCAATTTTTTTTCTAAAAAATTAAATTAGGCCCGTAATATTTGTTGAGTACCTAAAAGATACTTTACTCTAAAAGTAATAAGAGAAGAGAAGCTACACTCATAGGTCCTTTCCGCAATCCTCTTTATTACTCCTCTTTTCTTTTCTTATTTATATTTTTGTTTTTTAATACCTTTAAATTCTTTTAAAAAAAAAAAAAAATTTATAAGTCTGCCAGTGAGTTTTTAGAAAGAAAACGCCTCTGATGCAGAGGAGAGAGAAGGGAAGCAAAAAGAGCATTTAGTAGTTTTTTTAGGGTAAAAGTGTTTCTCCGGTTAAAAGAAATAAATTTATTTCTTGTAACTCCAAAATGACATTATTTTGAGATTTACAATTAACGATAAAGGGTATTTTAAAATTTATACTCTTTATTTTTAATCTTTATTCTCAAAACACTGATATTTTGGAGTTGCAAGAGATAAATATCTTTTTTTATATACATAAAATTTATTTAATAAATGTTGTTATTTAATCCCAACCAAATATTTAATCCAGTTAAAAGTAACACAGTCTTAACTTTTCACAAAGATTTAGTCATGAGATTTTATTTTCTAAACTTAACTATATGTCAATGATACATTGTTTTGATTTATAATTTGATATATTATATTAAAATTTGATTTCCCCCCTTTTTATGTTAATAATAGATAACCTTGAGTGAAATATATTTTTACTAACTTTTTTTGTTTTTGATAAACTTACTAACTTTTAATCATGAACCAGAAATTTGACATGGTTTTAAGGTAAAATCCTATAAACACTTGTAAAGTTGTACTTAGTGAGATAACGTTATATTCCATTAACACCTGAGAAATTATTTTGAGAAAGAGAAGCTGTTATACGCTCGTAAAGGTTTACTTAATTTAGAGGATTGAACAATTTTATCGATCAGTTAATGTTTATAATATGCCCAAATAGGATATATTCGATTCTCTCTTTACGTGAATGATTGAGTTTGAAAATGTTGAAAGGGAAAGAAATTCAAAAGGCAAAAAGGTTTGATTCATAGGAATGATGCACCATTTGCTGAGACTCGATCACTTTCAAACAGATCACATGAAGTGATACAAAAGAAACGAGTTCAAGAAGTGCACGCATAAAAAAGTTCCCCCCAGGCCCCAACTCCACCGATGCAGCAGAAAAATAATAAGGTCAATTTTGTTTTTGTCCCCTAAAATTTATCCATTTCCTAATTAACATCCTTTCTTAACATTTTTCTTTTTCAGTTTAACTCCTTTAATTTTAAAAAATTGACTTTTAAATTCAATTTAACCATAATTTAATATTTTTAACTTATTTTTTAAAGAATATATAAATACAAACTAAACAGTAGTTATGAATAAGTTAAAAAAAAAATTAACGTTTTTCACTTAAATCCGAATTAAAAAAAGTTAAATGAGAAGAAAAATTGAGAAGTAATATTTAAAGAATAATGAAACTACATTAAGATCTCGTATATATATGGGTTTTATAAGAGTTATGTTGTAGGAAAATAGATTGTGTTATGTTATAGAGATTCGTTTTGCGTGCCAGAGTTTTTTTTTTTTTTTGGTTTCAACAATTGCGTGTCCCACAAAATATAGTGTGTGTAGGAAAGTTGTTGTAGTCATGTTAAATGATAGATACAAAACCCTAATATATATATAAACTGCATCCGTACAAGTGGCAAAATTGATCATGATCTGCAAGTCGACTTGGAAGGACCACATAGGGCCTAGAGCACCAAAAAAATTTCCGTCGACTTGGAGTCCTCATGTGTCAAAATGTATGTCGTGTCATCTCTATCCACAAATTCAAACAGGTCATATATGGATTCAAGTTTTTGACACCAATTAATGTCATACTGTGTCACGAGTCGACCTACACGACCTGCGTATTAACCCATGATAGAGATATTTTTGATAATTCACATTATAAAATTCTATTTATGCCATGTCAATCCACATATATGTATGTCTATTTTATAAAATTTTGATATTATTTTATTTTATAAAAAGTAAATTCTATTGTGTAGTGTTAACTCACTATCATCAAGGAAGCACGAACACGTCTTTTTTCAAAAAAATGTGTGTCGGATAATGACACGTTGCAACATGTAATCAACATCTTTTGACATGTTTTATTTTTATTGAAATTTTATTATATTTTATCTTATTAACTAAATATGAAAATTTAATTTATAAATCAAATACTTTTTATTATAAAATTTGACATAAAAAATTAATTAGGCATCAAAAAATTATTTTTGTTTAATATTTATATTATAAAATTTAAATATTTAATCAATTATATGACTTATTACAAAATATAGAAATTTAACATTAGCCATTCTCAGAAATTGTTTTCTTATGCTACATAAGAGTGTTCTCTCCTACTCTCCTCAAATTGAAAACTGAGCTCCAACTTTTTTCTTTTTTTTTCATAAAAAAATTAATGGCCCACTTTGTTTTGTCTCAGCATAAGATAAGATTTGTCACCCGTCGCATAAGAAAACTAATGCCCTACGTAATATTATATGTACACAATATAAATTATATTATTTTTAAAAATATTATTTAATATTAAAACATATATTACTACATTAAAATTCAATATTTTTAGAATTAATGTATGAGCCACGTGCTGCACCAGCGTAGCGTGTCATTCGATTTCCCACTCCGACATCATCGTCATCATCTTGCTTTGTAATATTTAAAGAAGAAAGAAAGAAAGAAAAAACGTCAAAGGAAATCACAGCAGGATCAACCTAAATCAAGAAGAAGAAGAAGAAGCTGAAGCTTTTCTTTGAACTCAGTTCGGCTTTGTATCTCTCTCTTTCTCTATTCTTTTCCAACTTTCTCTTTCTCTCTACTTTGCACGAGGTTTTTGAAGTTGTTATGCAGTTGGAGAGTTCTCAATCCTATTATGATTTTTGAACAAAATCATGTTTCGCTTGGATCTTATAATTAAAATTTAGTTGCGGTGTTAAAATCTAATGTTAGACACGAAACATCGTTCAGTTGTTCTGGAAAGTAATGTTTGGCAGCATGTATTAATTATATCTATTAATCTGTTTATAGACTAATCAGAAGTTTAATGGTTTTCTGCGTTTCCTCTATGTTCTGTCGGCTATGGAACCTAGGCTTTAGGAGAATTTCGTTTACTGGAATAACTCTGTAATTTTGCGTTCCAATTTCATCTGAGAAACGAATTAATTTACAAAGTTATTTGTTACATCATGGTCCACACGACTGTTCAGAAAGATGTATTGGTAAATGAATAGAGTCTTGTTCACCGTTTCATATGCAGCAAGTGGATGCACTAGTCACCGTGGTTTATGCTATTTGCTTGAATCTTTTTATGATTTAATATTAAGGATTATTACCAGAATTTGGCTTAGCCTTTGGAATTTGAAGGAAGTTATATTAGAATTATTGTGTAAAGCAAGCTGTGGAAAATGAAATGTTTTTCATGGCAATATGTTCACATAAGCTACAGTGAAGGATGCCTAAATATACTAAAACCATAGTATTTTTTGCAGAATGTTTGTTTCTTCTTCATTTCCCTCCTGATAAGGTTGAACTGTGATATTTTACTATTTACTGTGAATTGTTGTCACTTCTTCTGCTGTGGTTCTCATTTTAATTTGTTTTAGGGTTTTATAAGAGTTATGTTGTAGGAAAAGTGATTGTGTAATGTTATAGAGATTCGTTTTGCAAACCCCTTGATTTTAACTTTAATCATATCTTTTTTACCTCCATTGCTGTTTATTTACTTTTCATGTCGATATAGGTAAAAGAAGGACTCTAGTTATGGGAAATGGAGAATCAACATATGATTCTCGTGATGATCTTTCTCAACAACCCCCTTGGGATGCTGGGAGTTCAGTGAATACTAGCTATCAATATCATCAACCCTCTTCTTATGCAGGGAGTTCGGTGAATACTAGATATCCACATAAGCAGCAACCCGCATATATAGCTGACAATTTCAGTTCATTGGATCAGGTTTTCACTCCTACTTTTGCCCATTAATTTAGTGAGAATAGTCACTATTAATCTTATCATTATAAGGAAAACTTCTTTGTAATACACTAGAAGAGGAATCCACATTTAGATATATAGAAAATTTTAAGTTTATTTGATTATATAATTGCACGACAGTTTGTATAACATGTTTGTTGAACTCCATTATGTATTAGGAAAACCCTTGAGGATTTTTCACTTTAGTCTAGATTATCAGTGTTATGGATATACTAATAGGCAGTGAAGATGTAGAACCTATTATTATAGATACCTGCTTTAGTTTGAGAAGAAATATGAAATAACATGGTTCCATTTGGAAAAGTTCAAATGGCCTGCATATATGGTTAAAAAAGTAAACTGTAATACTTTGAGGTCAATTTGGTGAAAAGGAAACTAATTAACTAACTATTGGTGAAATCAGTGATGGAGCAAGAAAGGTTGAAAACAATTATGTGGAAGGGGGCATCTCTAAAAACGAAATAAAATAAAATGGAATTTACTTTAAAAATTATTAGGGGGACCAACGCCTCCCTTAACAGCAACAATGCACTGCCCCTAGGTGAACTGGACTCGCTGTTCTTAGCAGATGTTTTAAAAAAACTTAACTTTAGCATGTTATATTTCAGGTTGTTTCTGCTCTTAGAGAAGCTGGTCTGGAATCTTCAAATTTAATACTCGGTATTGACTTCACCAAAAGCAATGAGTGGACAGGTAGTTTCTTTGGAATATGAAATAAATATTGTACATACATGGAAGTATAGAGAATGCAGAAAAGTGACGCCTTGATAATTTTAGGCAAGCACTCCTTTAACCACAAAAGCCTTCACTCTATTGGAAACACCCCTAATCCATATGAGCAAGCAATCTCTATCATTGGCCGTACTCTCTCTTCCTTTGATGAAGATAATCTGATACCATGTTTTGGATTCGGTGATGGTGAGTAGCTGTTGCGTATTTACTTGTAAGAGAAATGTTATATGTTTTTTCTTCTGTTGATTTCAGTCAATATACTTCTGTAGCATCTACACATGATCAGAATGTGTTCAGCTTTTATCCTGACCATCGCCATTGTCATGGTTTTGAGGAAGTACTTGCACGCTACAGAGAGATTGTTCCACGCTTAAAATTGTCAGGTTTAATATTATCTTCCTTGCTGGCTAGATTTAACAATTTTATTACAAGTATCTGTCTCAAATATATTTGACGACTTTGGACAATAACCCTACTATAGTTATGGGCTAGAAATAATTGTGTGTGTGTAACTGCAATATGATTCAGTGAATATAGCTTAGCACATATGAGTTTGAAAATTAAATTGCCGATGAACCTAGTGGTCTGTTGGCATCTAATTCTTGTTAAGGACAATGATTGAAGTTCAGATATTGGTTCTATCCCTATTTGATGCAATGCCAATTCTATACATCATTTTTGGCTTACACAAACTGGAGGAGCTTTTGGACTGCAAAAATTTCAGGATTTATTACCTGTAAATCCTTTCTCTTATTTCTAGTTATGAACTTTCTCCTTAAAATTCATCTTTGACAACTATTTTTTTGGAAATGTGATAGATACCAACTAATATCAGAAAAATAATGAAGAAACAAGAAATATGTTCTGATATTGATTTAGCAGATTCAACGTAATTCTGCTACATGGAATGAGAAAGAAAGTTACAGAGAGTAACAAGATAACTAAAGAAAGGGAAAATAGTGACAATGGAACCAAAGCTTAGAGCAGTTCGATGGGCTCTGAATTCCCTCCCAAGATTAGCCCAAAATTCCAGAATTTCCAAGATAGCCTCATACACTTCACACTCTCGTCTTATACTCAAACCTAGCCTCCTAGAATATTTTGTTCTCCCTCCAAAAGTTAGTTATGCCACCTCATTGGCAGAACATAATCCCCTACTACCCATCTCACATACACCTTCATGAGTATATTCCTATCAGAATGCCAAAGCACTTTTTATGGTTATGGTTTTTTTTTTTTTTGGGACAGTTATACATACTAGTATTGATATTAATGACTGATACAGGTGTTTAGGTCTAATTGTAAGCAAAATTATATGATGATTTTATGAGATTAGAAGTTTAGAACACCGATAAATGCTTACATGTTGAAGACATGATGATTGATGCTAGGAATTGCTGTGTTGATCCAATCACCTGCAAAACTTGTGAAAGGCTAGGGCTTTGTATGCAGTTCACGTCCCCTAATCACAACTCTCGAGGGATCAAGTTGTAGAACAACTAAAAGATATCATGTGAATGTAGAGGGGACCTAGCCAAATAAATAACATTTATGTCTTCCCATGATGGGCCTATGGGATAGTGCCTATACTGTTACCCATGTTAATCAATTTTAGATATGTTCAAGCCTATACCAAATGGATCATTTCAATTAATAAGTGCATCCCTATATGAATCACATATTAGCCCTTTTTTTATGCAAGACAAATAGCCCTCAAGAATTATTAGATAGTTCTAAAACGTATAACTTATATGATCCCTTCCCTTTATATTTGTGTAATGTGTCACAAGAGTTTTGAATGTAGCTTTGCTGTTATAAAGTAAGTTGTTTGTGCTGTTTGGATAAAATTGAATCTGTCCACCTGATTTGTTAAGTAGGTTTAGGGAGTAGAAAGGATGCTCGATTGTGGTGTATTTGGCTGGAGGGAAATTCTAAAGGCTTTAGCCAAAGATCTCATCCTAATCATCTTTTTGTGGCATAGATTTGTTTTTTAGCTTTCTTTTAAGGTTCACCCCATAGGTTTTATTGAGTTTCTTTGTCATCGTCAAAGGACGAGATTGCCCTTTTAAGTTGATTTATCTACTTTGTTACATTTCGCCCTCCTTTCTTTTGATGTTTTATTCTCATTTTCAAGGATCCTCCTGCCTTGAATTCCTGTTTTCCTTGATGAATTCTTCTTTTAGTTCAAAAAGGGAAAAATCCATAGGAAAGATGGCTTTTGTGTCCTGGCAATGAAATGAAGACTTCATTATGACAGTTCATTCCTTATCCATAGGTCCAACATCATTTGCCCCTGTAATCGACGCAGCAATTGACATCGTGGAGAGAAGCAATGGTCAATATCATGTTCTTGTCATTATTGCTGATGGACAGGTTTCACCTATTTATTTTTCCCCATTATTTTCTTTTCATGCTATTATTAATTGTATTTTCTTAAATTTCTTCTGTTTCTGCCTTTCTGGAATATCTTGTTTTTTACAGGTTACTAGAAATTCTGGTACACCACAGGGAAAGCTCAGTCCACAAGAACAGGCAACTGTGAATTCTATTGTTGCTGCAAGGTAAAGCAATTTCTTTTGTAGTCTTTTACTATTGTTCATGGTGTCTGCCGCTGATGTGAAGCTGTTTTGATATTCAGTCACTATCCTCTCTCAATTATTTTGGTTGGAGTTGGAGATGGACCATGGAATGAAATGCAGCACTTTGATGATAACATTAATCAGCGCTTATTTGATAACTTCCAGGTACTCAAAAGGTGTATGATTAAGTATGTTCATATTTCGGACGAGTTTGTAATTAGTGTTGAGTATTGTTTTTTTAGAAGGAAAAGAGGAGAGATATTTCACTAATTTGATTCTGAATAATTGTTGTCGACCTTAACTAGTTTGGGATAAAGGTGTTGTTGATGTTGACTCTGAATAATTGTTATATATAACTCTGATCTTATACCACTCTTTATGCAAATAATCTAGGTCAAGTGTATTATCAACATCAACATCAACAACACTTTTATCCCAAATTAATTGGGGTCGGTGGTAGAGGAACCCACATGAAAGATACAAAACGATTGAAAAAAAGTAAAAACGCAAAAAATAAAAAAATAAAAAAATAAATAAAAATAAACAGATAAAATAAAAAAATAAAATAAGATAAAATAAAAAAAAATATATGTATATATAAATAAATACAAGTAAAAAAGAAAGGGACAAGAAGAAGTGGGGGAAATAAAGGGGAAAAGGACTAAAAAGGGACCATCTGGAACATAGGAATAACAGCGGGTCTAACCCTCCACCATACTTATAGCTTTTCTCCATTCCGTTCTAAGACATACTGTCCGCCAATCTATATCCCACTCCATTAAATCTTGTTTTACTACTTTCCCCCAAGTAAGCTTCGGCCTACCTCTGCCTCTTTTTGTGTTTAGCTCTTGGTAACAAACTTCTGTTCTTACAGGAGCATCCATGGGTCTTCTCATCACGTGCCCAAACCACCTCAATCTATGTTCTCTCATCTTCTCGGCTACCGGTACTACTCCGACCTTTCGTCGAATATCTTCATTTCCTATCTTATCCATCCTTGTGTAACCACACATCCACCTTAACATCCTCATCTCTGCTACTCCCGTCTTATGCTCATGTTGCCTATGTGCTGGCCAGCATTCCGCTCCATATAGCATTGCCGGTCTTACTGCCGTTTTATAGAATTTTCCTTTTAACTTCAGGGGGATTTTGCGGTCACACAAAAAGGCAGATGCACTGCGCCATTTCATCCACCCTGCTCTGATTCTATGATTTACATCCTCATCAATCTCTCCATCGTTTTGTAAAATGGAGCCCAAGTATTTAAAAGCATCTTTTTTGGGTACCTCTTGACCATTTAGATGCACAGGTTCTTGGTCCTCGTCTTGTACCAGAGAAAACTCACACTTCAGATACTCAGTCTTGCTTCGACTTAATGTGAATCCTCTGGATTCCAATGTGCTTCTCCACAATTCAAGTTTTCTATTAACACCCTCCTTGCTCTCATCAATAAGCACAATATCGTCTGCAAAAAGCATACACCATGGCACTTCCTCTTGAATATCTTTTGTTAGTTCATCCATAACTAAGGCAAAGAGGTAAGGACTTAGAGCTGACCCTTGGTGTACACCTACCGTGATAGGAAAATAACTTGATGATCCGTTACAAGCTTTTACACATGTAGTAGCCCCATCATACATATCCTTGATTGCCTTTACATACTTTAATGGAACCTTTTTCTTCTCCAGGACCCTCCATAAAACTTTCCTTGGAACCCTATCGTAAGCTTTCTCAAGGTCTATGAACACCGTATGCAAGTCCTTCTTCTTTTCTCGGTATCTTTCCATTAGTTGTCGCATCAAGAAAACACTTCCCTGCCCTGCCCAATAAAACTCACTATGTACTGGCACAATATAAAAACAGTATTGAACCACAATACAATTGAAAAGAACAGGCAGTCAGCCACTGCTTAAGAGACAAAACAGCAACAGCCTAGAAAAAACAACACTGCTATAAAGAGTCTCAGTGAGAAAGGAGCTGGAATACTGGAAGGATAAACGGCCAGAAAGATGTACGTTGGGAATAAATAAGCACTGCTGGAAAGAGACAATGAAGATTTGTGTTTCTAAACTCGAATTCATGGTGAAACCTATGTGGCAACACTTCCACTGTCGAATTTTAAAATCTATGTACATATTTATAATTTTAAATTATCTTTTATATGGTGGATATCATTGCCATATATAGGGTTCAACACAAACATGAATCTATTTTAACACAGCTCAATAACAAAGCATTGGTAAATGACTTGGTGGAGATCAACCTTTTTTTCACGTATTTAAAATTTAGAAGTCCGTTCAAACTTTCTCTAGGAGTTGTTCTTGATAGTCAAACATAACATTGGTATGTGATTTGGTGGTGATCTGTTTGGAAGATGACAGCTTAATCTCAAAAAAGGGCTGGAAAATTTTTGGTGTTTCATATTTTAGTAGAGCGTCCTTAGTTCTGGATCATTTATGATTTATGAGTTTTTTTTTTTAATTATTATTATTGATATATTAGCTGCTTTGTGTTCGTTCATACCCCTTCAGTTTGTTAATTTCACAAAGATCATGTCTGAGAACCAAGAGGAATCAAAGAAGGAAACAGCATTTGCACTTGCTGCCCTTATGGAAATTCCCATTCAGTACCGGGTAGCTCAAAATATACAAGTTGCCAAGTAAGCCATGAACTACAGGTACGCTGATTCTAAATTATATTCAAGGATAACTGAGTGTCAAATTCTTCTGATGCAGAGGAGAATCAATAAGTTATCAAGTTAAAAGGCCTCTCCCTCCACCTAAGGAAGTAATAGATCATGACAATGCAGTCCTAGCAGTTCCACGCATGACAAATTTTGAATCAGTTGAGCCAACAGCTCCAGCTGCAATAGAATCAGTATGTTACTCTTGTGCTCCACCCTCGTGTCTTTCTCTTGCTTTAGATTCATTTTAAGATCAAATATGGTTACGTGGTAAATGTCTTTCTCCTGTTCTAGGCATGCCCTGTTTGCCTAACCAATCCGAAGGACATGGCTTTTGGATGTGGTCATACAGTAAGTCTGTTTAATGAACTTATTCTTGTCTAATGCTTTTGTTAATGTGCCCTAGAGGTTATAGTTGTTCGAGTGAATTATAAATCTTGAAGGGAATTTAGGTTATAGTTTTCATATTTGAAGAAATTTTACTTTTTTTTTTACTGGTGATGAAAGTTCAAAGGAAAGATGAAAAGGATGTTCTTTTCTTGCTCCAAGTCAAAATTATGCAACATTTTAACATAGACATGTCATGTGATTTTTGGGAAAAGCATGTCAACATTAAAAAAAAAAATATTGTCACTACATACTAACAAAATGGTCGGAGAAAGCATTTTATTTCCACCCGATATAGAATTGCTGTGCAAAGAGGAACAAATGGATGTATGACTTGCATGTAAAAATGTGTCTGTTATTTATTTGCTCTATGTTTTTTAATATAGACTTGCAAGGAGTGTGGCGTGACATTATCTTCATGCCCTATGTGCCGGCAGCAAATTACAACTCGCCTGAGACTATACACTTGAGTTGGAGATTTATTAGCTGCTGATTTATGCTTTTCTTATATTGCGGTTGATAAGGTATGTAATGACCACCTGTAAAATTTACATTTCAGATAAAAAATAAGATGTACATGTATAGTTTGTGTTTAAACAAAATGTTCATTGAATTTGAAATTGTTAGAAATTAGAATATTAGGATTATCTGTGTTAGGAGTCTATTTTTTTAATTTATTTTTTGCTTAAAACAAATTAATATTACCCAGATGCATTTATTAAATAAAACATACCACTGAAAGGTATTATGCAACGTGCATGAATTGCAAGAAAAAAGTAGTGGAAAAAAGCCATAGATTCTACATGTGAATAGGAAAAACAGATAAGCTGTAGACCCCGGTAAAAAACAAAATTAGTAAAAAGGAATAAGTCCAAATTACCAGAATAATATTAAAAAAATAATATATGAAAATGGGATCATTTTACACCCATGAATATAACATATGCATAACGATATGGCATCGTTTGAAACAGTTTTTTTTTAATGGGTCCTAACATGGGACCTTAGGTCTGTTGAGAATTTCTATCATTCAAATATAAATCATCTTCATATTTTTTTATTTCTTTTATCACAGTTGATTTATACCTGAATGATTGAGAATTATTCTCCCTCTTTTCTTAATAAAAAAAGAAAAGAAAAAAAAAATGTTGTGGGTGTCAAGTCTCACGTGGCAATTGTCCCTCTTCTCTTTCCTTTATATAGTTTATATTTAAAAAATGCAATAGGTGTAAATGTAGGATTTTCAATTTGGACTGTTGATTTTGAACTAGAAAAAAATAGAGAGGAAAACGTGATTTACTCTTTATATCAGTGGGTTTTATAGATCAAGTGTGGAATTTACAGAGGACAGGTCATTCAAATTCAAGATTTAAAGGTGTATTAAGTATTTGCTTGAGTAATAAATATATGTATAAATTATAATCATTCTCATAACATTTCTTAAATTAGATTGTCTTTTGGACCAAAATAGAGACTCAATCCATGAGAGACCCAATTCACAAAGAATCCAAAATTCAGAAACCCTTACTCCAGTGTAGTAAGTAGTAACTTCATACCTCAGATGATATAGTCAAATATGCAAGTTTCGCCCTTCTGGCTTCCGGAGTAACTTGCAGAAACAACACCTTATCAATAAACCAATGATCAAAGGACAAGAAGGAGCATCTCGGGCACCACTCTTGAAATCAATGAGAGGCCAAATTCACAAAGGGTCCTGACAGTTGCTCATTCAAAGACAATGACTCAAGCTACAAAACTGGTTCCTCGTGCACTAAAAATATGGGTACCTCCTTCAAAGATAGATAACCCTTTCCATACAACTACTGGCTCCGGAGTGTCTTCAATGAGATTAAGAAATTACACCAACCGTTGGGATAACACGCAGTTAGGGGTGTAAATGGACTAGACCGGCTTAAAGGGGCCTATGGCCTAGCTTATATTAAGTCAGACTTGGCTTATTACAAATAGTAAAATAAAATAGGTCTAGGCTCTTAAAAAAATATATTTAGAAAACAGGTCATAGGCTTTTTTGTACATGTCGAGCCTATAAATTTACAGGTCGATCTATATTATATTATTTATTTAAAATATAATAAATACAATTATTATTTTAATAATTTCGAATAATAAAATAATATTATTTTAGTTATTCTTTTAATTGTTGAATGTTTAATAGGCTTAAACAGGTTAATAAACTTAGGTCAAGACTTTTATTTTTTAAATATAGGTCAGGCCAGACTTGTAATTTGAGACTTACATATGCTAATAGGCCAAGACATACTCAATGTTTTTAGACAGACCTGACTTATTTAAGCCAAAGTCTAAGATAGCCTATTTACACTCCTATACGCAGTGAACAAGTACTATCTTACTCTTACACATGCCGAGACATATAAACTCGGATACAAAATAAATAGCATAAATAAAACGGTGGGACATATTTCGCGAGTGAGGTCTGCTAACGTGATTGCACAGTACATCCTGTCCACTTAGGTACTTCTTGCATAAAACCTATATTTTCCCCATCTTTATCATATACCAAGATTTCTTAAGTAGGCGAGCACTAAACAGATATAACAGGGGCTACAAATGCCCATACAGTATCTTGCAATCAGAAGGAGGTTCTTCCAGGAAGTGGGTTTCCCAATCGTGATAGTTCCGAGTGTGGTTTGCAAGCCAGTCTGCAAACATGTTTCCTTTCCTGAAAGTGTGGGTAATCAATGTGTGCCAACTCCTATCCAGAAGTTCCCTAGTTTTAAAAATGATTGACGTCAACTCGCCTCAAAGAGATAATTAGGGTTGGGTAACTCCAAAAAAAAAAAAAAAAAATGATTGACGCCATGGGATGATGGCCTTGGCAACCACGGGTGATGAGCTTAATTGCCAGTAAGGAGTCCCCTTCAACCCAGATATTCCTGTGACCTGTGCTCCAAGCCATTTTTAATCCTTCAAGGAATCCTCGCAACTCTGCAGAATGGACCTTGAATCCGTAGTAGTTAACTAATGACGATTGCTCAATTTTTTTTTTAATATTTTAGCAGTTAGTATATATCAGGGTTTTTTTTTTAATAGTCAGTACTTAGTAGATGTGGTAACGGGTAGGGAACGGAGTCAATAATGATGACGGATGAGGACATGATAAAAATTATTTTATTAATTTTAAAAGGATATGATATGATATCTATTTTTTTATGCTTACTTTATTTATTTCTTTTTAATAGTATTTGATCAGAATCTAAGAGGAAAGAGAAATGAGGAATGTCAGTTGAGATTCCGATCTCACGGTATAAGAGAAGAGTAGATAGAGTAGGAATGAAAAGATGTAGGTATAATATCTTATCTCAATTTTAAAATATTTTTCATTTTTAAAAAATATATTCTACTCATTTTACTTATTATTTTGAAAAATCAAGTGACATTAATTTTTTACTTTGTTAGTATTTCCTGATCTGTTCACTTCGTAAAACAAGAGAAAATATTATTGAAACGATAAATATATAAATATTTTAAAATAAATTTATTTAGTCAAATATAATTATTTCTATGATTGAAATTATTTGATGATTTATAAAATTTGTATACAAAACCTTAAATAATAGATATTTTGAAACAAAAAGAGCAGTAAAGTAGCTTTCCTGTCGCCTCCATTTTTCAAGAACCACTGCAAGCATTTCGTCTTGTATTTTGCTTACATTGATTGAATGAAAACTGAAAGAATTACATTACTCTAATTTTAGGATGGATAAATATGTGGTCTTAAAATTATAAAAGTTTGTAAATGAGTTACAATGTCAATAAGTGTATAATCTTAAGATTTCGAGACATCACAATACAAATACTAAATGAAAACAAATTAAATTTTCAATGTATTAAATATTTTTATGTATTAAATAATTTTAATTCTCAATTTTTTTAGATAGTGCATGCAAAATCCTTAATATAAATAGGATAAAATCCTTGGAGACATGTGCTGTATATGAGTTGATTGTAACATAGGCGAATCAAAATGGATTTTAGAGAATAAATAATTTCTACCAAATGGCATTGCCAAATTATAAATTATAAATAGCTCGCCTGCTTACTTGTTTTAAATATCAAGGAGTTTTTTTTTTTTTTTTTTTCCTGTGATACTAAAGTTAATGAAAAGCCCTAGTTAACACTTTTATGTATATGACAACTCTCGAAAGAAAAATTAAGTTTTGCTACTTTTATATTTTCAATTTTGTTATACTATATGAGGTAGGGTATTTATATTATTATTTTTTTCTACTACCAATCCATTACCATTTTTAATTACCATTGATCAAACTTTTCAGCAATTTTTTTCTCTCTTTTTAACAAACTTTTTGCTGCAAAATTTGATCCAATAATAATTATAATGTTAATGAATTGTTAATAAAAAAAAAAGTGATAGTATGAACATCTTATCTGATACTATACATAGCAAGAGAAAAACCAAGTGTAGCCACTAGCCAGACTCATGCAGCGGGACATGCCGTTTTTATAATTGTTTCGGCCAGTGATGCTTCATGGATTAGTTCATTTTAAAAATATAAATTTTTAACTCGTCAAAAAATTTAAATAGTAATTGTTTTAAAAAATTTAAAAGAATTATGTACATAACAATTTTCATACGCAAAAGCAAAATTTACTTTTAAATTTATAAAGGATCATTTTGTTATTTTTCTTTAAATATACATATTATTTATTCATTTATGTTTAATTGATATATACTGTCAGTGGAAAAACCATTGCAAACCAGATTTACACTGACTTGGACTTGGACAAATATTGTACATTATTGTTTATTTCCATCTCATTCTTATAAAATAATTTTAAACTGATAATATATATGAATTCAATTCAATTCATCTTCCCGCATATGTAATTTTATCTCTTTAATAAGTTATATCTTTGATGATGTTAAGGCATGACTTTAAGATTCAAGAATAGCATAAACCATTTTTGATATCTAAAGGCATGACTTTAAGTCCAAAAAATTCTGAATGATTTTAAATTGCAAAATCTGAAACATTATTGCATAAGCCTAATGTAACAAAATAAAATTGAGTGCATTATGCTAATGAATTATTAATACATTATTAATTATGATAACATATTCATTATCATATGTAATAGACCGTTAGACCATTAGTTATAACATATCTTATATCTACATAATTTTTAATAACATATCATATGTAATGCACCGAATTTATATATATTTCCGATGAAATCTAGCTACCTGTTTATTTGTTTCTAACTTTCTATGCCCATTGCATGATAACTTTAACTTAACCCCGAAGCTATTTCTTGTCATTTTCATCAATAATAGAAACAGCTGTTTCCAGCTTTTTGACTTGGCACTTATGTCCTTGTGATCTCTAATACGGATCAGGCATTACAATACCTAAACTAATGTATCGTAGAACTCTCCAATCTATTTTTTTCACTACTTCCGTTAACATAAAGACTGTTAGGAAAATTTTGAGTAACTAATTATTTTAAAAATAAATAGTCTTTAAAACCAATGTCAGATAACTAATTTGCTCAAAAGATTTGAATAGATATGGCCATATGGGATTCTATCAAGACTAATTATAATTAAAAATTGAAATGTAATAAAG